ATTAATACATTTTTGATTAACCATGGTAAATCAATGAGACGAGGCTTTTAAGGGATAAACTTAGCTGTAATAACAAGGCTTAGTTATTAACGGAATGTAACTTATTATATGAGAAACACTTGCGAATTACTGGGAAGCTGGCGCAGAACCTCATTACATGTTCTGGTCATTATTTCTTACAATAAATCAAATTACATTGTAATTAAGCATGATGTGTGTGTGTGAGAAAATGCTTTGGAGTGATATAGAGAAGCTGTGATAACACCCTTTAGTTATTACAGGCATATTTGTTCTGTAATAACATAGGTGTACAATGCAAATTTGGCAAACTATGAACTGTTATATCTTTCTATCATGTCTATAGTTAAGTATACATAAAGACAATAGTAGTATCAATATAACTTGTATGCATTTTAACTAAACTAGTGATGTATATTGTCCCTTTGAAACATGTAACATACATATGTTATCACAGTTCTTTGGTTTTTTCGTCCACAGTAACAAATGTATGTTATTTTTCTGTAATAACCCTATAGAGTTATACCCCTGACTGGTAAGGGAGGTAATCCATAATTGTACAACATTGTACAATTTTGTTTTTGGATTACCTCCCTTACACTGCTTTTAAATTGTCCATTAACTAGGAAACCCTTGTTTTTTCCATCTTTTTTACCCCTAATTCCTAAACGGTTTGAGCTATAACCCCCCAAAGCCAATCCTAACCATTCCTTTGTGGTATGGAAACTTGTGGTATAATTTCAGAGAGATCCATACACTTTGACACAAGTTATTGTCTGGAAGTTCCAAAAATGCTTTATTTTTGGCCCCTTTTTGGTCCCTAATTCCTTAACTGTTGGTACCATAACCCCAAAAATTTCATAGAGATCCATTCACTTTAACTTAAATTATTGTGCGAAAACCAATGTGTCTTCGGACGACGACGACGCCAACGTCATACCAATATACGATCCCAAAAAAATGTTGCGGTCGTATAAAAAAACAACTTAAACTATCTATTCCTATGTCAGTCAAATTCATGTCTATTGGTTGTTTTTTCATTGACGAAAAACTCACATTTCTATTCACCATATCAAAATATAGTGCACAATAATACTGCTGATGTTTAGAGAAATAAAAAAAATCAGTGTTTAGAAAAAAAAATTATGATGCATGCAGAAATTGACATTGTTTCTACTGAATGTCATGTATTTTCTCTTCTAGATAATAAGCATCAAATGGTGTTAAACAGTTTCTAATGCATAGCCTGCACACACCTCTCCACAGAAACTTAAATTTAGACAAAAATCAAGTTTATTAATTTCATGATAATTATTTATGCAATAGTGAATAATACATACATTGTTATATTATATATATGCAGTTGTCATATATTATTTTGGGAACTAGCAAATTTAATAGATAATCAAAGTACTGAACATCGGATGACAGCAAGTTCTTGTGGTTTGTCAAAAGCACTTGTCACAGAAAAAAAACTCTATACCTAAAACTGAGGTTATTGTACAGAGATATTTTTTTTCTGAGACAAGTTCGTGCGTGGATGATGAATAAATGACAGGAAATTCAACATCACCGTAATAACTATTATATTGTAGTGATACAAATCAGTATACACTGGTTTGTTGTTATATATTATATTATTATATTTTTCATCCATTTGTTTATCATTCTATTCTACTATTCTATTAAGAGAGCAGTGCAAGTACATGGTGGACACTCTTCTGTAAAAATTCGATTTTTCTAAAAGATTGAATATGAGTAGGCATTCATATTTTCTCGCAAAACAATCTTCCATGCAGAGTAACTGGTCCTTGCCGGGATTGTCGCAAAATGTTCTTTAGATATTCTTCCGCATGCTTTACCATATCAAAATTTTTTACTTATATATATACATCTAACGACAAAACATTTTCATATTATTAATTTATGTTCTTAACAAAAATATTGTTATCAGTATTCATTGAATGAAGAAATGTATTTGTAACAAACGATAAGGAATGTTATTTTGCACTCGTTAATATCCGCGTATTTATCATGTTTATAGATCTGTTACAAACCCAAAACGAAAGTTACGTAATGGAAATCTAGGCGATAGCAGTACACGGTCATCGTGATGTAAAAAGCCAGCCTGAACCAAATTTAACCTACAAAAACATCTAGGAGACATAATATATATCTGAATGCCCCAAGGTTATTGTATTTCAAGATTAAAATGCATATAGTGAAATGCTTAATGCACCTACATATACAGCATTACACACCAAGCGAACTTTATACTTTAATACCTCATAAATTAATATGAAATTTAATAAAAAGAACATAATATTTTTTTTTTTATTTTCACTTTTTCAAGCTTTATGACATTCTTGATTTTTTCTCTAGATATGCCTAAAAGCATTTTATTACAATATAATTATTTCTATAAAAACTTTAAATAATATATAAAAAGGATACCAGGAATTAACCATTTAAATAATGTACGCGTTTAATAACACACAAAAAGAATTCATTATAAATTTGTGGTAGTTGTAGAATGTGAGCCAATATCAGGCTGATCTTCCTCAAATCCAGCATTATCTACCCCATCCTCAATGAGCTGTGCTTCGTCATCCACAGTAGAGATCTGTGTGTCGAGTGTGGTCATGCTTGCCTGGGTGTCAAGTGTTGCTGTGCTTTCCATATTTTTGATTCTGAGTGACCCAGTCTCACTTGCAGAGTCTGCCAGACTGCTCATTAAACTAGTACGATCAATGTCTACCGATGCTGCACTGTCCATGCGTTGGAAAACTTCAACAAGATCCGTTGTGGAAGAAACAGGTGGCCAGTGAGGCGACTGAGAAATCTCCTCTTCCAATGCCTTGTATTTAAATTGGCTATTGAAGAAATTCTCTTTGATTTTTTCTTGTAATTTTCTGCTGATTAAGTAGCTGTCACAGAAATATGACTGAAAATTTACAATACTTTATAAATGGGACACAGAAATGCTATAAATAATCTAAGGCAAGAATTATTTTATAATAACAGTTTGGTACTATATATATGATTCTTTTACATTATATATTTTTTTGATATTACCAAACAGCTATGTTCTTCAATGCACAGATTAGGACCATCCACTTAAGCCAAGATGTTTGCTCAACTAGAGCTCAAGGGTATCTAGAGCTATCAGATGAGTGTTTTTGCTCCATGTTTAAGGCCATGTTGTCACTTTGAGATGAAGAACAACTTTAATTTTTTTCATGTATACATATTTTTTTATCAAGAATTGATAAATAAATTCTTTGTTTATCATTATATCTTTAACTATACAATCATGATCAAACTAGCATATAATTAATTTTATTATATACTTAGTAGTAAATACAGATAAATTGTATGTGTAATATGGTCAACGGCAATCGTGCTGTAATCCATGATGATATCAATATCAGTCACGGTTGCAAAGCCTTTATCACACCTTTAATCTGTATGATGTCACGTCATCGATATCAGTCACTATTGCAAAGGCTTTATTAAACCCCTAATCTGTAGAACGTCATGTCACATAAAAAACATCTACTTGAGGTATATATAATAAAGTGTATATGATATGGCTGGTTCAATATCACACGCTGTATCAACCCTCAATCAATAAAATCCCTCCAGCAGAGCTCTTTGGATTATATTGGTGTCTCAGGTTGATGCGGATGTGATATTGAAAAAGCCATATGATATTCTCTATCTATGGTTGTAAATTTTCACAAAAGTAAGTATACGGGTACTCATGAAATCAACAAACAAATACTTCATCACTGTGGATTCATTTATTTTCTTGGGTACCAATTTTTTGTGAATTAAAAAAAAATCGAATTTTGGGGGATATTTTTTTGTGGCTTTGCCAAAGTCTGCATACAAGCCTATAGAAAATTTCTACTTCAATGAACATTTAAAATTCATGATTCATCTATACAAAAGAAATCCATGAATATCCCACTATTAATAATTAATACACAGTACTCAATCTGAAAAAAGTCAAAGATGTATCCAAATGAAGTTTGCATAAATAATATTCTATAAATACATTTACTTCAAAACAATCTTCTGTGAAAACAAGCATATTCCATCTTCAAAGAATAAATTTACTTGATTTGATTTGTGCTACAAATTTGATGTAAAGAAAAAAAATTACAAATTTTTATCATCAAAACAAATATTCTTCAATTGTGCTTGGTACATTGAACCTAGATTTTTTTTAATCAATGGCTGACAAATTTCAAGGGAAAACAGTTATTTATATTCAAGATGTTGGTCAAGAGGCTGGGTGCCTTCAACAAATAATAAATTAATGTATGTCCATTGTATATTTGATAAAATACATGGATTTTTTATCAGTATCATGGTAGGAAACTGTGCACAAAAGCCAATGATTTCTACAGCCAAAAGCAATTTTCTGTAGGGAAAAAGGCAACGATTATTTCAGATTCATTGTTTGTCGCAGTTGTAGCCCTTTAGTGTCAAAATTTACTTAATTATTCAGATCACTAATTAAAAATCTATTCAGCCATTTTTTTCAATTTACACAGCTTTCTAAATATTTTACCTTAAGTTTAACTTCATAGAAATCAGGTATATCCTGAATTGTACATGTATTGCCTTTCTACATGACAATTTTCAACCAATGTTTAAAGTCTGGTAGTGAAACACAACCTTTCAGAAGGCAACTACTACTAAAAATAACCTCTGGTCTTCTGGAAATCTTAAATAAGTATACTATGGAGCACATTAATCATCAATTTTAAATGTAAACCCATGGACAAGTAAATGTTGGCTCAAAATGGTCAAAATATATTTCTTTTTCATTAAAAGTTTCATTTCTGCAAATTTGTTGGTTAGTTTAAGTAAACAATGACATCAAGAGCACTATTTTTTGTCAGGGAAGGGCTACTTTTACATATGTTCAAAATTGGAGTGGATGAATTGGTGGTCTGAAACCTTATACTTACTTCAACTAAAAACGAAAGAACAAAGTTGATTGCAACAATTCCCAGATAAATTAGTTTATACTCCATAGAAGGTATATCTGCCAACTGAAATATAAATATGCAAATAATATATAAGGGCAAAACAAACATAGTATTTATAACTAGGATCGTCATGCTATCATATTTCAGAGTACAAATATCAATAGCTAGAAGCTGCTGATTTATTTTAGAAATATTTCTATTTGCAGCATCGTAGACTCGAAACATTTTAACCTACATGAAGTAAGCTTTATATAAGATCATATTCTGAACTGGATATTATAACGGCTTAACTGGTGTAACTGAATAAAAGAGGGTATCTTATTCCATTCAAACATATGATTCTGAATGCAACATGCTTGTCTTTAACAGAGTTATGTAACTTACAACGGCAAATATATTTGTCCCAAAGTATTTTTTACATGCAGGTGTTTAGCTGTTTTTTTTGTACTAAGCAGTTGAAATGTGAGAAAAGAACCAAGAGCAAAAGCATGGAACTCTACAAGAACTTCATGTTCCTGTAAAATGCAAGTATCTTAAACACTGGAAACTATTCGTATAGGAAAATGGACTCTTATGCATGAATAGGTGTTTAGGCGTTTAGGCATGATGTTTTAGTCATAGTCATGCATTTTTGCAAGTATACAAGTTTTCTCTCTCAGAGATATGCTGCTTGTTTAATAAAATGTAACAAGTGTTTTCAAGCTGGGAACAAAACATGAGACCAAAAGCATTGAAGTATTTCAATAGAATTCTATTCTTTTTGTAACTCCCTCCTCCTAAAAAAAAAAACAAAACAAAAAACAAAAAATTTATCCAACTCATCCATCTTTTTTTCAAGAAGACACAACAAGACATTTTAAGGCCTGGTACAACTACAATTAAATTCCACTTTTCAAGGAATGGTTGGAACCCTATGAAACCAGATCGATGGAAAGGCACCTTTATACTGCAAAATGACTTTGAATTGAAAATAATGGATAAATGCACACTTACCTCCATAAACTCTCTAAAGAATTCTAGTGGTTCTATGTGTAGCCATACTGTACAGGCCAAACAAAACACTATATTAACAAGGAAAAAATCTACAATAGAAAAGTTCTATAAAGAATTCCACTGTTATAAGTGTAACCATATAGTATACAGACCAAACAAAACATGATATTGGCAAGAAAAAAACCTACAATAGAAACATTTTATAAAGGTCATGCACTCCATTAACTTTATGTACTTTAAATTATATCAGTTATTTTTGTTATTGTCAATAATTTTTATTGATCAATTAAACCCTATTTAGAATAAAAATGCAAAGACCAACAAACTTCATGATTCCAAATTTTTAAAAAGAGTTTACTCAAATCGCTTCTGCAAGGGTCTTGTACCAATACCATAGGGGATTAATGGTTGTAGTGTCTGCACATACAATAAATATTTGCAATGAATAATGTTCTACAATTCCTTAACATAGATTCTGTTATTCACAATGTTTCATAAAAAGAAAATGACTTTTTTTCTCAATTTTTCATTTTAACTTTACATTCACTATAATGGCCAACAATTATTCCCTTAAATAGCTAACTAGTCCTTATGCGTCAAAAACACCTATGATCCTAATAATAAATGACTTACAATTGGAGAAAATAGTATTTCTGTATGGCCTTCCCTTCGAAAAGACAATAGCTAGTATAATGTATTGGTATGATGATATCAGAAATACAGAAGCATTCTCGTAACTTTCATAAGCATCGTCTTCATTGTCAACAAATGGTGTAAACCTGAAAGTTAATAAACTAGAGGCTCTAAAGAGCCTGTGTCGCTCGCCTTGGTCTATGTGCATATTAAACAAAGGACACAGATGGATTCACGACAAAATTGTGTTTTGGTGATGGTGATGTGTTTGTAGATCTTACTTTACTGAACATTCTTGCTCCTTACTATTATCTCTATCTATAATGAACTTGGCCATGTAGTTACAGTGGAAAATATTTTGTAAAAATTTACAAAAATTTACAAAATTTATGAAAATTGTAAAAAATTGACTATAAAGGGCAATAACTCCTTAAGGGGTCAATTGACAATTTTGGTGAGGTTGACTTATTTGTAGATCTAACTTTGCTGTACATTATTGCTGTTTACAGTTTATCTCTATCTATAATAATATTCAAGATAATAACCAAAAGCTGCAAAATTTTCTTAAAATTACCAATTCAGGGGCAGCAACCCAACAACGTGTTGCTTGAATGGTCTGAAAATTTCAGGGCAGATACATCTTGACCTAATGAACAATTTTATCCTTGTCAGATTTGCTCTAAATGTTTTGGTTTCAGAGATATGAGCCAAAAAACTGAATTTTACCCTATGTACTATTTTTTAGCCATGTCGGCCATCTTGGTTCGCGGGCGGGGTCATCGAACACATTTTTTAAACTAGATATCCTAATGATGATTGTGGACAAGTTTGGTTAAATTTGTCTTAGTAGTTTCAGAGGAGAAGATTTTTGTAAAAGATTACAAAAATTTACGAAAAAATTGTTAAAAATTGACTATAAAGGGCAATAACTCCTTAAGGGGTCACCTGACCATTTTGGTCAAGTTGACTTATTTGTAGATCTGACTTTGCTGAACATTATTGCTGTTTACAGTTTATCTCTATCTATAATAATATTCAAGATAATAACCAAAAACGGCAAAATTTCCTTAAAATTACAAATTCAGGGGCAGCAACCCAACAACGGGTTGTCCGATTCATCTGAAAATTTCAGGGCAGATAGATCTTGACCTGATAAACAATTTTACCCCCATGTCAGATTTGCTGTAAATGCTTTGGTTTCAGAAATATAAGCCAAAATCTACATTTTACCCCTATGTTCTATTTTAGCCATGGCAGCCATCTTGGTTGGTTGGCCGGGTCACCGGACACATTTTTAAAACTAGATACCCCAATGATGATTGTGGCCAAGTTTAGTCAAATTTGGCCCAGTAGTTTGAGAGGAGAATATTTTTGTAAAAGATAACAACGACGGACAAAACGACGGACGACGGACGCCAAGTGATGAGAAAAGCTCACTTGGCCCTGTGGGCCAGGTGAGCTAAAAATTGTTGCTTTTTGGTTGCTTAATGTACACAGGAAATAAAATATGCATTTTAAAGACGAGAACGAATCTTAAATAATAATAAATCATTTATAACACAGGTACGGATCCAGGATTTAGAAAAAGTGGGCCCAGTGGGAAGGCAACTTTAGGAGTGGGACTTGTAAAAAGTCTATGCATTAACCATTTAAGTAGCTGCTTAAGGGGAGGGGAATCCATAACATATGTCTTAATCCATTTCCATGCCCATTAGGCTAAAGACACCCATTTATCTGTATTGAATCTCCCTCATATGAGGAATTCCAGGAATATCAAAATCATCTTTTTATCTTTTAAAAGAAGTACCACATGATCAACCAAACTGCCTGGTTTTTCATTTGGAATATCACATTATCAACCAAACTGCCTGGTTTTTCATTTAGAATACTGATGTATGTTTTTCTGTACACTGCAGAATTCCAAACTTGAACATCATCTCACTTACCATGGTTGTTTCTGAACATTGAGGTAGACAAAAACCTGAGCTGCGGCCTGTATCACTGTCTGTAAAATTAGAGTCAGGATTGGTCCAATACTGAAAAGGTTTATCAGTGGAGGTTCTGGATGTAATTTCCCATAGGCTCCAGTGGCTCCAACTGTATATTCAAAATATTTTTTATTAATGCATTTTTAATTTATTGACAAAACTTCCAATATTTTATAATTACATCATGTTTTGTAGTACTAACACGACACAAATGAAACACTTATCAAAACCAGTATGCTTATACAGAAGTAAATAAAGGCAACAGTAGTATACCGCTGTTCGAAACTCATAAATCGATAGAGATAAAAACAAATTCGGGTTACAAACTAAAACTGAGGGAAACGCATCAAATATAAGAGGAGAACAACGACACAACAAAAACACAACATTAAAATGTAACACACACAGAAACGAACTATAATATAACAATGGCCATTTTCCTGACTTGGTACAGGACATTTTAAGAAAAAATAGTGGGTTGAACCTGGTTTTGTGGCATGCCAAACCTCCCGCCTTAATGGCAACGTCAAACACAACACCAAAACGACAACATCACATGACAGGACCACAATACAAATAAATGGGAGAACATATAGGACAAAGAAACACACGAATAATAGCTAACAAAAGGTACTAGGCTTAAAATTGAACACGCCAGACGTGCGTCTCGTCCACACAAGACCATCCAGTGACGCTCAGATGAAAAAAGCTTGAAAGCCAAAACAAGTACAAAGCCGAAGAGCACCGAGGACCAAGACTTCCAAAATGTTGCGCCTAATACGGCCAGGGTTTTCTGCCTGGGACAAGACCATCCTTATTATTTAGAATAATTTATTATTTTGCAAACAGTAAATTTTATAAAATGACTATAAAATAGATATACATGATAAAACCGAAGTGGGGACTAACCACAGAATAAAAACGGATACATTACATAAAAAAACTTAATCCAACATATAAAAATACACAGCCGAGTTAGCCAAAGCATCAATGCACAAAGTGACGTCACATTTGAAATTCTAAAAAAACACAAAGTGACGTCACATTTGAATTTGTAAAAATATTTCCCCAAAATAAGATAGTATTAGGATTGATTCAAGATTACTTTTGTAATACTGACATTACATTTATTAATAACAATGAAAATTACAATACTTATTAATATCAAATTGTGGTAGTAATTAGATAATTAATTGTATTATCTAGCTATGTCGGTGTTTCTTCTGAATCAAACTGTAAACCAAATATATCGTATAAATTTCGTTGAACCAAAATAAAATCTAATAAATGAAGGGAGTGATTAATTATCTTTACCATAACACACGAATATAACAGAAAAGACGTTAAGACATTTGACAAAATCCGACGAGAATAACAAATGTAACATCAAAATTAATTACATGAATTTGAAATATAAAGGTACCGTAACGAGTAACAATGTTTCCAATAGAATTTCAATATAAAATCAAAGTCACATACAGCAATGTAATGACCTCAATTCCATTCAGAAAACCTGTGGAGTACACTTTGAAAACTGACTCTGTGAGCCTTTTTATTCTTTAGAATACTGCATTCAATCAAAATCTGCTAATGCCTGTGTTTCACTGTTTTTTTCTTTATATTAATTTAATGTAGAGGCTATAAAGAGCCTGTGTTGCTCAGCTTGGTCTATGTACATATTCAACAAAGGACACTCCAACATTGTAGAAGAGAACAGAATTCATGACAAAAATCTCTGTTTTGCTGATCTTGTATTGCTGATCATTTAGTCTGTTTAGTTTCTCTCTATCTTCTTTAGTTTTTGTTCAAAACACAAAAGAGGGTAAAAAAATCCTTATTTAAGGGAATCACTCCTATGAAGAGTGACAGTTTACTTACTATATCGGCAAAATTCGACTTGTAGATCTTGCCTTGCTGATCATTTTTGTGATCTAACGTGTCTATTTATCTATTAAAATCTTTATCATATAGGGCAAAACGCAAAACAAATGGTAAAAATCGTCATTAAGGGGCAATAACTCCAATAAGGAAGTGTCAAACGATTTCTGCCATTTGTCATAATTGTATATCTTGTCTTGCTGGTCATTTTTGCTTATATACGTTTCTTTCTATCTATTATAATTTGTAAGAAATAAGGCAAAAATGCAAAAAATTAGTAAAAATCGATATCAATAGGCAATTACTCTTAAAAGGAATCAACTGACAATTTCAATCATGAGACTTATTAGTAGAACTTGTCTTGCTGATTTTTTTTTTTGCATTTTAAAGTTTCTCTCTATTATAGTTTTCAAGATAATAGGCAAAAATGAAAAAAATTGTAAAATTTGTCATTTAACAGCAATAACTCCTATAAAAAGTCGTCTGCCAGTTTTGACGTACTTGGACAACTGGTAGAGCTGAACATTCTGAACATTTTTGACCCTGTCAGATTTTCTCTATCTATAACGATTTTCAAAATAATAGACAAAAATTGCATTTTACCCTTATGTTCTATTTTTAGCCATGTCGGCCATTTTGTTGTGCAGGCGGTGTCATAGGACACATTTTTTAAACTAGATACCCCAATGATGATTTGTTTGAATTAGGCCTAGTAGTTTCAGAGGAGAAGATTTTTGTAAAAGTTAACGGACGACTACGACAACGACGGACGCAAAGTGATGAGAAACACTCACTTGGCCCAGGTGAGCTAAAAACAAAAAAACAAAAAACAACATTCAAAATTGAAAAATATGATGTCACACTACTTATAAACATATTCATCTTTCTTGAAAGTAGCCTGAAGTCACTATGGCATACATTTCATGCTAGTCAAAACGTTTTGTGATACTGAGGCATTACGAATTTAAAAACAATGCAATATTTTCATAACTGATATCCACATAATAAAATCTTTTTTTTTTTAAACAATCTTCAATATATATACTCACATGATATACTAAGCGTGGTAAGTATAAACAGATCTATATATAGGAATTCAAAATCTGTCAAGTTGTTAGAGATCTGTAATACAAAAGCTTGATTAAATTGTTTACTCATATTTGATTGACAGCATTGAAACTTATCATAGAAATTCTGACAAGTCAAGATAGCTCATGAAATTAATCACAAGCATCTCTAAAAAAGCAACAATTGATATAAAATTATTTCTGTACGTTCAACACATGTTTTTGGAATAACCGTCATCAGGTATACCCATGAAAAAAAAAATAGAAAGACGAAAATATAAAATGTTTGAGAGCATAAAAACAAAGGGACCTAAATCTGTGGATATTAAACTTCATGACTTTGGGCTCAACATGGCCAAATGACAACTCTCTGGAAGACTTGGGAAAAACATCTTAAAAGTAAAAGTTCTTGTAACTTACAATTCACAAGTAAATAAAACATATCACCTGATCACCAAATCTGGATGACTGAACTAAGAAAATATGTATACCAGGTAATTAAAGGACATTATTCAAAAGGAAATGTATTTTCTAAATTATCATAAACACAACACATGTAGCCTTAGTCCAATGTTTTAGCCATAGGATCAATTTATCATTAAATGATTCAGAACAAATTGGATCAATGAACAAAGAAAATGAGGTCAAGGACAATTAATCCTGCTAGATTTATTTGCATCCCATAAAATGAATCTAAAGACTAAGTATGGTAATAAACTTATATGCAGTATATTGCAGAAAATTTAAACTGAATTTGATTTTTATTCATATTTTGTGACCATATAAGACTTGGATAATGTATTAAGGGCACTGTTTAAAGGCATTGCACTTTCTATCAGTCATAAGAAAAGCAACAAAATTGAGGCAAAATGTAGTTTTTGATGGTGAAAATCTTTGAATAAAACCTATGACTGAAACACTAGACTTGAGCTTAATATAACAGCATGACAATATGGTTAATGGCATTATGAGTGCATCATGTCAACAAGATAATTATGATTCTCTAAGACCTATCACTCATAGAACTGTAAATCAAATTATTTTTATAGATTTTTTTTTTCTTGCTTAGTACTTTCTAGCCATCTTTGCAGCAATTTATTTTAGCCATTTTGTAATTTTGCTTGTGTATAAATTCAAATGAAAGAAGATTCAAATTTAACATATTTTCAAAGTAGCATAATAACTTACTTACGAAAAATGTGTTGGTTTACAGTAAATGGAATGATCATCTAATCATGATACAAAAGTGTACCATGAAAATTAGGAGAAGGACAAATTTATATTTAGAAATGGCACGGGAAAACTAAAAGTCAAAATTTTCAAAATCAGAAGCATTTCAAATTGTTAAACTCATTACTGTACACATTTCTCTGTAGAAAACCTCTCAATTTAACTTTAAAATAATTGATATAAAAACTCACCCATCTGAGAATACAAACAGATGTAAATTCTGTCAGACTAAAACAAGCTGCACATTTAAATAATCCCATACATGTCTGCCAACATGCTCTTCCCTCTCTGTCACACCAAAAATTAATATTTTAATCTTCATCAAAAAACTTAAATTTTATTCTATTTATGATGTCTTTTTCTTCCTATTGTTTTATTTTTGACCTACATACTTATGGCAAAATATGGTAAGATTTATAAGATGAAATACACATACCTATTTTTCGCAAAAGATCAAATGTTGTCATTTTGTTTCATTAGCAATTTGACTAGATGCTGTGACAATTGTTGGACATGTGACTTAAAACCATTCAGATGTTGAATAAATTTCTTGTCACAGTGTCTTAAATGTTACTGAAATTCTTTGTTTTATTCTAAAGGTTTGAAATGAAGAAATATCATTGGTTTCTTATCATATTTTTTTACACAATTACCCCCTAAAACCTTCACAAAATCACAAAGGCATAAAACGTTGGATCACAGCAAATCAAAGTGTCCTGAACCCTGTCTTTCTTATACAAAAGCACTGAATTTATATGCATAATAGATTTGCATAGGTTTCAGAGAAAAGGACCTAAATGCAAAAATTAAACTAAAGTTAATTGTGTTATTTAGGTCACAGTGACCCAAATTTTTCTTCACAGCATTTCATAATAGAAAATAAACTTAACAATCTAACTAATTTGATCAGTTGCAAGAAAATTGTATACCTAGGTGGATTTTGTCATTAAAAGATATACTGAGATTCAATCAGTTTGGTATTTTTGTAAGTAATGATTCATGCCATGCAGTATCATACACCAGGACACAGACAAATATAACAACATGCTGCAGCAGTATATTCCAAGGGTTGTAAAAGTTACAACTGCAGGATTTTAGGTGCAGAACATAAGTGTAAGCATTATCAAATACATACTATACTTACTTTGAAGAACCTGTTCATTTTAATCAGAGGCAAATATAGAATGGAGAAAGGTAAGTATAAATTGATGAAAACTTAACAGAACATGTAAATTTTCTTGGTGAATATTACTAGGATATTCAATTAAAAGTTTTAAAATCTTAAAGCTATCTTATGGATTTTGACTTGACCAGAAGCACTGTCTCTCATCATGTTGTCAGTATGAATTAAAAAAAAATGTTCTGTTATTATTACACCACACTTTATTATTCAAAATATTAGGAAATCATCAATTAGGACATTTTCTACGAGGTATTTCAACTGACATTTAAAACTTTCCCTGATTTTATAAAACCCCAACCCTTTCCCTACACATTAATTTTTAAAAAAAAACTCAATTATGGTAAGCAATGTAAAATCAGTGTTCAAATATCATTAGCAATAATACCAAATGCTTAATAATATCCCCTGATTGATTAAAAAAGAGTATGATCATAATTTTCCTTTCTGGTCCAAGGACACAGTTATCGTCCTTTGGTTTTCGTTTTCTACGAATATAGTCCCTAGTGTGAACAGTGTATAACTTGCATTTTTTTTTATACACTTTCCCAATTTATTTCTTGATATTTTATGCATGAAATATTAAGTAAGGGGATGAAATTACATGTTAAAAAAATTTGGGTGCTGAATCTTTATGTTAAGTAGTGATTTGGTCCAGTTAAAAAAGGTCAAAAATTAGAATGTCTGAAGCTGTCAAACTGAATTTTATCCCCCCTTAACACAGAATTGTCAATATTTTGAGTTAGAGCTGGTAGAAGTTTCTATAATTTTGATATTATTTGTATCAATAGTAGTACACTACACTGTAAAAATCTTTTTGAGATAGAGCAGGTGCGATTTTTTTAATTTGAATTTATTGTCTAAAAGAAATGCACTACGAAATAACTGTGTTCTCGGGCCTAAGATGGGGTAAAGCACTTCTGATGCAGTTAGCAGCGCATTGTAACCCCCACCTCCCATGAAACTTGATCCTTTAAAAAATACAACTGGATGCATATTTGTCAAATTCTTTGCAACAGATGTTCATTTTGCATTTCCCTCACAATATTACAAATATTTTTCTTCATGCTTTCCCTAACCAGACATTAATTTCGGAAATTCCTGTACTGTACAAAAAAGTTTATGGAACTATCATTCTTTTACCATATTTTTGATTTATTGAAAATCACCAAATGCCAGATTTTAAAAATATTTAACATAAAAGTAACTATGAACATCAGTAGCAGACATTTGGATTACCTGGTGTTGTGTTATTGTCTTATAATATTGGTATAAAGCAATATAAATCTGGTTATTACTTCCTATTGATAGCTGTTTTGGTTTATTTTCACATCAAGTTGCCATCTAGAAGCTCTCTTGTTGGCTAATTTTTTGTTCAAATATGGAGGATTTTTTTCTATTCAAATCTAGTATTTAAAAAGGAAAAATATTTTGTGTATTTTAATCCGGGCAAACTCTTACAATATTTAGCAAATTCAGTAAAAAAATTACTTTCGATTCGAAATTTCTTCAAATTTTCGCAACCATTCTTAAAGTCATTAGACGAAATTAAACTGTTTACTGTTAATCTAGGTGTATTATTTTTCAAGCATTCAAAGAAACTTTTTGAAAATAAGGTTCCTCGATTAAAGTTTACTAGAGAGATTCCAACTCAATTTGTAGCTTCCAACTTTTTCTTCTTTTACAACTTGATGTAAAATTAAAAGAAGACAGCTTTGGTACACAAAAATAAAAGCAACTTACCCAGTACAATATACAAACTGTCAGAAACTGTGTTAAACTGTACATAGCCATATACTTAAAGATCCCAGATGATGTTGTTAAAGCTGCTCGACCTTCCCTATAGAGGGATGAAGAAAAGCATGCTAGCAGATATTCAATACAGAAGCTATCAAAGCAGGATTTACATACACAACGTACATATATATATTATACAACTTTAGACTAGAACACATTTTTTTAAATTTAGAATTCTTTTGCATCAGGATTTTAAAGGAAAATAATTTTAGCTTTTTTCTTAAGAAAAAAAATGATAACTAAAGTTAAATCATTAAAACCATGTCTCTTTTATTTTATTCCAGTTTCAAATTATTCTGTTACAAATCTAGTTATAGGAATAATGTAAAAGGCAGAGGTGAGTGAAATGATAAATCCTTATATTTCCTTATTTTGCCCTTTCACTAAAGGGCATTATTCAGGAAAGACATTTGTGTTAAGTTCTTAAACATGCAGGATAGCAATATCCAATCATATATCTTGCAACTAGGATTGTAATGGAACAATCTAAGAACTTAAGAATACATGCTTAGCTATAAAGTATTATAACCATTTACCAAAGACTTATTTTCATTCAATCAGTATGTTAACTTAGGCTGTTTTGTCTGTACCAGAAGGGTTTACAGCATGTTTTAAGAGATACTGTATCAAGTTATCACAATTGCTGATAAAAATATATCAAACCCATGCAAGAACGAGCAAACAATAACATGCTGATTAACAGATAATGAGGAAAAATTGAAAGTAAGAAACATCACTGTTTTACCAAAAAAAAATTCCATTATCATAATATTTATTTCTATTTCATATAAAGTGTAACTGATTCTATCAAATTTATTGAACCTATATACATAATAAAAAAAAATAGATTTTATAAAATACAAAACTTAACATATTGTTAGGGTGCTATATCATTGTAATATCCCTTTCTATCTTTTAATTCATATTTTATAATAAATAAATGCAAATCATTCTCAACAAATGCAACTATCATCTCCTATGTAACATTCTATGTATATATATAATTCATTAATATACTTTATCTTAAAGTATTCATAATTCAAAAAAAATTTATATTATGTTTATTTAAATTTATATTTTTATTGCAATGTATTAAAAATCAATTTTATCAAAGATCATACTGGACAAACAATTGTAAGACTAAAATAATGTAAACCTACCTGATAAGTGTAGGAACACATTCTATATTTGGTTTTTTAGAGGTAAATGGAGAGGCAACTGATGCCTCTGCCTCAGAAAGAGATATCCCTGCATGTGCTGTCTTCAGGGCCCCACAATCATTGGCTCCATCTCCACACATCCCAACAAAGTAACTGAAATGATATTTCAACATGTGAAATGCAACATTCCTCCATCTTTTAAAAGGAATCCAATATGTTTGCATTAAAAATTAGTAAGGGGTCCGCGGAACCCAGTGTCTCGCCTACCTTTGCTGCTAGTCACAGGCTCAACAAAAATGGGGAAAAAATTATTAAAAATTTTCTTATAGATACTATTTTTTGATTGTAAGAAGCTTCTGTCCAAGTTTGGTAAAAATCCAGAATGGTTTATGAATCTAATAAATGTTTTGAAAACTATAACTACAGACTGTATGTAATGTTAACTGGAAGAAAAACTAATTCCATTTATAAGTAATATAAGGAAAACAGGTAATATATTTACAAAATTTCCATCTAGATACTAACTTTTGATCATAAACAAGCTTCTGTCCAAGTTTGGTTCAAATCCTGGATAGTTAAAGAAAGTTATTAAAATTTAAAAAACTTTAACCATAGAGTTAAGATAATGTTAACTGGAAGAAAAACTAATTACATTTATAAGTAATATACGGAAAACAGGAAATATATTTTTACAAAATTTCCATCTAGATACTAACTTTGATCATAAACAAGCTTCTGTCCAAGTTTGATTCAAATCCTGGATAGTTTAAGAAAGTTATTAAAATTTAAAAAACTTTAATAATCACAGAGTGAATGTAATGCTAACTGGCAGAAAAAACTAAGTCCATTTATAAGTAAAATACGTAAAACCAGGATTTTTTTTTAACCAAATTTACTTCTGGACACTATCTTATGATCATAAACAAGCTTCTGTCCAAGTTTGGTAGAAATCCAGGATAGTTTAAGAAAGTTATTAAAATTTCAAAAACTTTAACCACAGAGTGAATATTTGTGGCCGCCGCCGCTGACGGAATCTATAATCGCTATGTCTCGCTTTTGCGACAAAAGTTGTAGGCTCGACAAAAACCATACATGACTTCAGAGGAGATGTCTACATCCAGTATGGTAAAATAAAACATAATAATATTTTAATCATCCTTGTGATTTAAGTTACTAATACAATTGTCATCAATATTCTGGGACTTTTATGTGTAATCTTAGCATTCCTTGATGTTTGCCACTGGAGGTAAAGTGAACAACAATCAATCAATGGTAAATATATGAAGCAGTAATTCAATACATTTTAGACATTAATAGTGATTCAAATTCTAATTCAGTCTTAAACACCCAAATTTAATAAAATAAATACTGACCCATCATTCAGAGGGTTGTTTAGGATAACTTCCAACAAAGAATTTTGAAATAATGGCTGAAAAAAACCATCATAACAAATTTGAATTAAGTGGAAAGTAAAAGGCAACCTTTTTAGCCTGTGGAGCCTGTTTCATCATACTGTTTGACCTTCACCTTTGTCAATTATACTCCATACATACATTATTATATAAAGTTAAAGAACTTTGTAAAAAAAATTGGACCTAAACAAAACTTCAAAGTAACCTACTACTCTCTAATAAGTTGCTTTAATCATAATTACGTAAAGAAGAATCAGACCATTACAATAATTGTAACACCACATTTAGAAAAAAACACAAAAAAACTTTCAATTCATTGAAATTTCTACCTTCAAGGACCATAACTCAGTGAAAAAGAAGAATCAACTGTAGCTCCACATGATGATCTTATATAAAAGCAAGGTGATATCTAAAAAAATTAAAAAACTTACAGTTTAACAGACTGATATATGGAAGTAAGTAGTGCAAAATTATGGTGGGCCATTTTGCCTGCTAAGTGATGATCAAGTTACCACATATTTTCTTTTCTTTAAATCTTACCCTAATTCTTGTAATGTCTCTATTAACTGTCCCTTTTGTTCTGGAGAAAATCTAGCAAATACTGTTCCCCGTACACATAACTGCAATGTAAAAACAAATGCAAAAATCTAAGAAATACTGTTCCCCTTACACATAACTGCAATGTAAAAACAGATGCTAAAATCTAGCAAATACTGTTCCCCTTACACATAACTGCAATATAAATACAAATGCTAAAATCTAGCAAATACTGTTCCCCTTACACATAACTGCAATGTGAATAAAAATGCTAAAATCTAGCAAATACTGTTCCTCTTACACATAACTGCAATATAACTACAAATGCTAAAATCTAGCAAATACTGTTCCCCTTACACATTACTGCAATATAATACAAATGCTAAAATCTAGCAAATACTGTTCCTCTTACACATAACTGCAATATAAATACAAATGCTAAAATCTAAGAAATACTGTTCCCCTTACACATCACTGCAATGTAAATACAAATGCTAAAATCTAGCAACTACTTTTCCCCTTACACATAACTGCAATATAAATACAAATGCTACAATCTAGCAAATACTGTTCCCCTTACACATTACTGCATTGGAAATACAAATGCTAAAATCTAGCAAATACTGTTCCCCTTACACATAACTGCAATGTGAATACAAATGCTAAAATCTAGCAAATACTGTTCCCCTTACACATAACTGCAATAGAAATACAAAGACTAAAAGCTAAGACACATAGATGGCACTGCAATTATTATATGCATGTTTTTAAATTTAGCAATAGATTTCTTGATCAACAATCATCTAAAAATAGATACAAACAAACCTGTCAACCTATGAAAACGAAAATGCAGGTCATGACCTGCATTGAAGAAGAAAATCTCAGGTCATAACGGGTACAAACTTTTTTCAGCTGAATATAAGTATTTAGGGGACATTTCTTTATATTTTAGATCGAACAGTTTCCAAAATATGTTCACATGGTTATAAGTACTAACCGAAAATAATTTAAAACTTTAATTTTATTTTTTCATTGCATAATAAGCCATTGATATATTAATGTGTTATACATTGACATTTCAAGCAAAGCCTTACCCCACCTTCATGTTTCATTCATAGTTTTGTATCCATTCTCAAGCTACTTGTTTCACAGTGTGTTTTATATTGAAATATAATAAATCAAAATTAAGCATTTAAGGGAAGTAGAGATAAAAAAAATAATTTTCAAAATAATTTTTTAATTGTTCTAAGGTAGAAAAATAAAAGAAAATAATATTCTGATATGTATTTGCATTCAATTTCTTTAAGATTTAAATTTTTACAAAAAAAAAACCATAAAACTAAGGAGTATATTGTGAAAGGTGACAAAAAAGGGAAAGTAACTCAAATTTATTGTTAAACAACTTTGAAATAGACAAATTATTTATGACCTTAAGCTAAGGTAATTAGTGTTAATTAACAGTGTGTTTGACACCAAAGCTGTCAAGTGAAGCCATGCACTTAATGGGTTACTTAATTTGACCGTTAACACACGTAGTTGAACTTCCTGTCCCGGAAGAATTACGAATTTGCCAGTATTTCAAAGGAAAATCACTTATGAAATCAGCCTAAAGGCTCAAGAACCTGGGTGAAAACTGGTCATTTTCCGAATTCTCGGGTTATTTGACGACCCAGTGGGTATTTAAAAAGTCCCTGGTATGGAGTGAAATTCTCTGGTCTCACCCGCAGGATACGGGTCAGTTGACAGGTATGCAAACACCAAGATTAGCAATAACTGCTCCCTGAAAGACAAAACTATTGAAAAAGAAAAAACAGATACACACTTATGATAGTACAATTTAAGACTTCACTGTGACACACCAAAGTGTATAAGACACAGGACTTGATATTCCAACTAGAGGCTCTAAAGAGCCTGTGTCGCTCACCTTGGTCTATGTGCATATTAAACAAAGGACACAGATGGATTCATGACAAAATTGTCTTTTGGTGATGGTGATGTGTTTGTAGATCTTACTTTACTGAACATTCTTGCTGCTTACAATTATCTCTATCTATAATGAACTTGGCCCAGTAGTTTCAGTGGAAATTATTTTGTAAAAATTTACAAAATTCATGAAAATTGTTAAAAATTGATTATAAAGGGCAATAACTCCTTAAGGGGTCAATTGAGCATTTTGGTCATGTTGACTTATTTGTAGGTCTTACTTTGCTGTACATTATTGCTGTTTACAGTTTATCTCTATCTATAATAATATTCAAGATAATAACCAAAAGCTGAAAAAAAATCTAAAAATTACCAATTCAGGGGCAGCAACCCAACAACGGGTTGCCTGAATGGTCTGAAAATTTAAGGGCAGATAGATCTTGACATAATAAACAATTTTGTTTTAAAAGATTTGCTCGAAATGCTTTGGGTTTAGATATATGAGCCAAAAACTGCATTTTACCCTAAGTACTATTATTAGCCATGTCGGCCATCTTGGTTCGCGGGCGGGGTCATCAGACACAATTTTTAAACTACATACCCTAATGATGATTGTTTACAACTTTGGTTAAATTCATTTTAGTAGTTTCAGAGAAGATTTTTGTAAACGATAACAAAAATTTACGAAAAATTGTTAAAAATTGACTATAAAAGGGCAATAACTCCTTAAGGGGTCAACTGACGATTTTGGTCATGTTGACTTATTTGTAGAATTTACTTTGCTGAACATTATTGCTGTTTACAGTTTATCTCTATCTATAACAATATTCAAGATAATAACTAAATACAGCAAAATTTCCTTAAATTACTAATTCAGGGGCAGCAACCTAACAACGGGTTGTCCGATTCATCTGAAAATTTCGGGGCAGATAGATCTTGACCTGGTAAACATTTCTACATTGTCAGATTTGCTCTCAATGCTTTGCTTTCAGAGATATAAGCAAATATCTACATTTCACCCCTATGTTCTATTTTTAGCCATGGCGGCCATCTTGGTTGGTTGGCCGGGTCACCGGACATATTTTTTTAAACTAGATACCCTAATGATGATTGTGGCCAAGTTTGGTCAAATTTGGACCAGTAGTTTCAGAGGAGAAGATTTTTGTAAAAGTTTACGGACGACGAACGACGGACGATGGACGCCAAGTGATGAGAAAAGCTCACTTGGCCCTTTGATGAGGGGGTGGGGCCATATAGTCTCCATGGAAATGAGACTTGCAAATGCTAATTAATTACCATGTAAACAAAGCAAAAGTTTCAAGGTCAATAGACCATGAGTGAGGGGTGGGACCATATAATCTTTATGGAAATGAGATGTGTCAATGCTAATACAACTGTATACCAATATTCATTGACCTACCACTAAAATCAACACCATATAGTTTTTCAAGAAAAATCTATGTATTAGAAATTAGAGATTTAATGATTCTAAGACAAATTTAAGAAGTTTTTCACTGATTTCATGTGCTTTCTAAATCAGTAATATTTCAGATGATAAAAGAGGTAAATGTAATTTTTTTTAATTTTCAGTTATAGTTCAACCAGCCAAAGTTGTATGCAAAATTTTACCAAAATCTGTGACATAGCCCATTGACTGTAACTTGACCTTAACAGGTTCATTTATGGATAGAGGATATATAGTAACAACAACAGCTCACTCTGGCACTTTTGACTAAGTGAAAACAATATACTTTAAATACAATCACAGGTCCTTTGGTCTTAAATGGATAGTTGTCTCATTGGCAATATTATAACATATATTTATATACATCATAAGTATGAGCTTCTGACAGTCATGCTAAATGGTTAATGAAAACATATGTCCAAAGGGACATAACTCATTTTTTCAAAGAAATTTTCACCAACCTTTTGAAGCAGATCATCAAAGTGTGTCCTTACAACTGACCAAGAACGGCCATCAATAGCAAAATGGAAAGTATTTCCATCATCCCTTGGTAAAATGTCTACTGTAACTTCCTGTAACGACAATTGACAGAACAGAATTAGAAAAATCTACATGATGTAATTAAGTGTTGCACCTCCATCCATACAGAATAATTTGGCAATTGTCCTTTTGAACCAAACACCTTGGTGGTGTCACGAAATAGAAGTTCCTTCATAATATGAGTTCCAAATGAAAAAAAATATTGAAAAATTGAAAAAAATTAAACATAAGTGAACCAGCGCCTGGTAAATCTTCTGTCAGTAGATTCCAATTTTGATCGTGAACTACTGCATCCTTCGAGGAACCGCCGTTGCAACCTGCGCTAATCTTGTTAGCCATCGGCACGCAGTAAAACAAACAATTATATCATTGAGGCACCAACAGGAACCGGCCTTCCTAAAATGCTATCAGGCATTCAACAGGCACAAAGAAAGTAAATTCTGATGAACCATCTCAACCAAAAACGAGTGCAAAGGAGGATAATAACTGTGATAAGATTATTTTTCACTTACAGAATTTATTGGCAATTATATGCACCAGACTTCTTATTATGAAATTCACTTTGAAGTTCCAGAAAAAACGTTAATCAAACATACTACCACCTTTACCAGATTACAAGTTTACCAGCTACTTCCGATAGTTTAATGAAGGAACACAGCATTTACTTTCAGCATAGACTAGTGATATTTTATTTTATTTTCCCTATACCTTCGGCGGTCAAACACTTTACAGTATTTCCAACGCGATTGGGAGTAGTACCTCTGGCCAAGGGAAGCCAGTCGAAATGGTACGGAATTGCCAGTAAAATGACGTCTTTATTTGGAAATAAAGACATTAATTGAACACAAAGTTTACACAGAACATAACTGACAATAATTAATTGTATAATTGGTTCCACTGTGCAAGAGTGCTAACACATGATGGCAGAATAACTTTAACAAACATTTGAAAAACAAAAACATTGTATTTTTATTTTATTTTATTTTATTTTAATAGTGTACTTCCATATATACTTACTTTCACTTTCTCTTTCAATTGCTATTTATAACGTTACTCACCATAGCAACATTGTGACGTTTAATTTTCTCAACCCGATTTTGTACCTCATCAAGATTTTATATATTGTTTTCTATCCTGATGACGGTGGCCTAGCCAGCGAAACATGTCGATCTCAATAAATTACTGGAGCATTCCTTAAAGTGTTGTTGTTACTGGACCTTCTACAGTTACAAATATTATTCACTAGTAAACATAATTCTGGATTTGAAACAAAGTTTTCAGCACAAGAGTTATTATCAAGATTTGTTCACTAACACTATCAAGAGTGAATAGTAAATCAGTATGTGAATACAACTCTTTTGGTTCTTTCACTTTATGAATTGGTTATGTATACAGTTATCTTAAACAACTACCATGACTACTCTGTTGTTAACATCATTCAGATTTACAAAGTCTAACTCAACTTTTAAGAAATGGAATGGTCTTCATATCCCTTACTACATTTCCCTCTTTAAAAATGGGAGGATCTTTTAAATGAGTTATTCCATACACTACAAACCATTGAAAGTCTGAAATGGCCTATATTTGTACTCGACTGTACTGATTTTTACTCTACCAGTCTGAATTGGTCTGAAATTTACTTGATTATACTCGACTGTAGTCTTAACCATACTTAACAGTCTGAACTTGTACTCGACCACACTCGACCAGTACTTAACCATTTTATTTACGTCTGAGCCATGCTCGACCTAGTCTGAACCATACTCGACCTAGTCTGAACCATACTCGACCAAGTCTGAACCATACTTGACCAAGTCTTAACCAACGTAGACATATTTTTTGTATCTATCTATTGTATTTCATCAATTTAGGAACTGTTTTTAACAGCTATTTCCCCTGGCTAGAAATTTGAACAACAATTTGAAATTTAAAATGTATTCAATATGCCATTGAAACCAAAATTTCACAATAAACATAATATAAATTCAACACCATATTCATCAACTCTTACATATATATATATCACCTTTAAAATTAAAATAAAACAAGCTGATCCAATAATCTCAAAACTGAATGATGACTAATATTTTCAATGTTATTCAAAATTTTTTGAATGTTTCAGATACATTTTATGGTTACTGGACAATTTTCATCGTTTACTTAAGCCTTGTATAGATTTATGGTGTCAGTTGAGTTTAGTTAATAATGCAGTGAACATTTTTTTTATTGAAATTTATTTAGAATAGTATATAAAGCAACTTAATAAATTTAAAAGATCACACCTTTGTTTTGTAAAACCAAGAATTTAATATAATCATGATAATAGAACTTCCGTAGCAATCCTTGATAACCATTTAAAAAATTCGTAAGGGTTCTGCGGAACCCAGTGTCTCGCCTACTTTTTCTGTTAATCGCAGGCTCAACAAAAATGAGGAAGTAAATCAATAAAAATATTCCTCTTGATACTATCTTTTGATTGTAAGAAGCTCCTGTCCAAGTTTGGTAAAAATCCAGGATATCTTATGAATCTAATAAATGTTTAAAAACTTTAACTGCAGACTGAATGTAATGCTAACTGGAAGAAAACAAAATTTCCTTCTAGATACTAGCATTTGATCATAAACAAGCTTCTGTCCAAGATTGGTACAAATCCAAAACAGTAAAAGAAAGTTATTAAAATTTTAAAAACTTTAACCACAGAGTGAATGTGTTGTTTCCTGGCAGAAAATCTAAGTCCATTTGAAAGTAAAAAATGGAAAAAATGGATTTATTTTTTTTACAAAATTTCCTTCTAGATACTAGCTTTTGATCATAAACAAGCTTCTGTCCAAGTTTGGAACAAATCCAAAATAGTATAAGAAAGTTATTAAAATTTAAAAACTAAAGTCGAAAGCTCGACAAAAAGGAAATGTGTTCCAAAGTTGCAGAAAAAATTTATTTCAATTAAATTTACATAACTTTTGTCAAAATTAAAGACATGGCATACAAGAAGAACTTTAATAAGGTTTAATTACCTCATTACATGTGTGTTTTACAGGTAAAAAGAAAGCCCTATTTTTCTTAAACTCGTGTATTACTTATCTAGTGAATTCAAAAAGCCTTGCGATTCAAGTTTTACAGGATGTCGCAATTTTTACTGAATGTTAGTTAGAAATTAATTCTCTCTGACCATGTGTGATCTTTTTAATGAGTTTGCCCCAAGCAGGAGGTATTACTTTATACTTTACCACTATTCAGAATTTTTTTTTTATTTATTTCTTTTAACTTTTTTATCCCTTTTTGATATATATTATATATATTATATCCCAAATTATAATAAGAATAGATATATTTCTAATATAAGATTAAACAATTTCAGTGATGATTTTTGGCTGTTGTTAACTCATTAAAAAGATGACTATATAACTATTGTATGTAACCATTAACCTATGTAGTTTTTCTTTAGGAATTTAGGAAAATTAAGTTTAAAAAAAAAAAACACATGCCAACCAAGAAGCACCTTAATAAGGTTTTATTACCCTCAGTAAAGGTGTGGTTTTTAGGTAAAAGATTTTTTTTTTAACAAAACTCTAAAACTTAAAATGAATATAATTAAATTATTATATAAGATAATTTGATTTAACTATCTCTATTTGACAAATGTGAGAATCATGTAAGGATGTAAGAATATGTTTTATATATATCTTTATTTTATTGTGGCTGTTATTATGTCAGAAAAAAAGAAATTAATCTTAACAGCTAAAATTAAAAAAAAGTAGAGGTTATTTGGTCAAGTATGGTTCAGACAGGTCAAGTATTGTTCAGACCTTTGGTCGAGTATGGTTTAGACTAAAAAAATAGGACGAGTACAGGTTGAGAATGGGTTAAGACTGTTTCAGACTGGTCGAGTAATAGTTCAGACTATTTTCAATGGCAAAGATAAGGGTCAAGTACAAATCAGTACGGTCGAGTATGTTGAAGACAGGAGTCGAGTAAAATTCAGACCAATTCAGACTGGTCGAGTAAAAATCAGTACAGTCGAGTACAGAAAAATGTGTGTGTCTGAGAACATGAATTTCTTGCTCAAGCTTTGCAATTTTTCAAGTTAAAAAGGGACATAACTCTAGAACTGTAAGTGAATTTACTGACCAAATTTACACTCTGCGCAAGCTTTGCAAATTTTGCATAACTCTAGAACTGTAAGTTAATTTACTGCCCAAATTTGCATTCTGTCTGCGTGTTGTGATCTTAGCATTATGCATGAGTTTCATAAAATTTGGATGAGACAAACTTAAGTTATAGTGCGGAAACTGAAAAATTTGCAATTTTCAATGTTAAAAAGGGGCAGAACTCTAGACTGGTAAATTACTTACTTCTTAGCACTGTGTATGAGTTTTATGAAGTTTGAATGAGAAAAACTTAAGTTAGAGTGTGGAAACGAAAATGGGACGGAGAGACAGACAGAAAGACGGATGGAGGGCGGTCAAGAGTAACACTTAATGCCTATGGAGGGGGGCATTAAAATATGGACAGTTTTTCTTAAATTTGTGTTAAAAATTAGTTCATTTACCAGATGGTAAAATCTGTAACTGTAAACCTTAGCAAGCGGTACAGGTCATTTCTTGAAGAAAAGAATGCTAAAGGGAAAATTGCATTTGTTAAATATTTTTGAACAAAATTTCAAGAGCCTAGGTGAGTGGTGGAAAACTTTACTTGCAAGGGGTAGGTAATATTACTTTGTCTGCACAAATTATTTCTCTTTCGTTAGTTTCACACATAATTACTTTTCCTATTTCTTAGTAAACACAAAGCAATTCATTTTTCAATATATCATTTCTCTAACTACCAGTATAGCCATCATTATTTATAAAGCAATCTATGATACCTCTATAGAAGAAGATCCTGTTTTAGTGGACTCCTGTTTGTATTCCTCTGCATAAACAAACTCCAAATAAGCATCAGTTTTGCCTGATTCTGGATAGCCTTGAACTAACACAATCCTCTCTTTAGGTGGAACCATACCAATCTCCCTAGCAACACTTAAAGCTGTTAACATGTTGTCTCCTAGAAAGAAGGTGTAAATGTCATATTCATAATAATAATAAGTTTGTATTGTACACGGTAATATTATTCCATGAATATTGCACAAGCTAAGGAGTTCAATAAAATTGAGAATAGAAATGGGGAATATGTCAAAGAAACAACAACCTGACCAAAGAGCAGATAACAGCCGAACAATGTATATTCAACAAGAAACAAGATTCACTAATATTCATGAACTAATGCTTTTATTGTAGAGCTAGTATGTGACACGTAAAATATTGTCTTGAATCTGACGGTTACAGTCCCATAACTCTGGGATGACATATCAAAATATCTTAAAAATCAAACGATATCTTTAATACTTTAATCAATTCAAACAATTGTGGAAATTTTCCAGTAAATCCATTGAAGCATATTCAGGTTATGGTACATGTGAAAAGTTTTCTTAAATCTGATGGTTAAAGTTCCATTACTCTGGAACGACAAACCAGAAAATTTTCAAAATCTAAAGGGAGCTTCCTTTTATCAATCTCTAAAAAAAATGTAAAGTGTGAGGATACCAATCAAAGCACACTGAAGTAAATTCTGATATGTGAAAAAAAATCTATTTTTTATGAATAAAATCACAAATCTCTGGAATGACAATAGTGAAAATCATTCAAATTGAAAGGTAGTTTACATTGATCAGTTCTAGCCATGAGATAACATCTTCAGAACAAATGGACAAAAATGTCGGTGTTTGCCCCTAAAAATTTACTTTTCGTACAGACAAACCTTTGTATAGTCCGTTTGACTTCTATAAATCTTCAGAAAATAATTCTTAAAAATTCATTTTTACAAATAAACATTTTTTTTTTCTTGATGTATGTTAATGTATGATAAATACGAACTCTGACCATGAATATTATAATTTTGGGCCAATAATAAAAAAATTCGTAAGGGTTCCGTGGAACCCAGTGTCTCGCCTACTTTTACTGTTAATCACAGGCTCAACAAAAATGAGGAAAAAAAGCAAGAAAAATATTCCTTTAGATACTATCTTTTGATTGTAAGAAGCTTCAGTCAAAGCTTGGTATAAATCCAGGGTAGTTTATGAATCTAATAAATGTTTTAAAAACTTTAATTGCAGACTGTATTTAATGTTAACTGGAAGAAAAACTAAGTCCATTTATAACTAAAATACGGATAAACAGGTACAAAATTTTAACAAAATATTCCACTAGATACTAGCTTTTGATCATAAACAAGCTTCTGTCCAAGTTTGGTACAAATCCAGGATAATTTAAGAAAGTTATTAAAATTTTAAAAACTTTAACCACAGAGTGAATGTATTGTTTCCCGGCGGAAAAACTAAGTCCATTTATAAGTAAAATACGGGAAAACAATATATTTTTTTTTAACAAATTTACTTCTGGATACTATCTTATGATCATAAACAAGCTTCTGTCCAAGTTTGGTACAGATCCAGGATAGTTTAAGAAAGTTATAAAAAAATTTTAAATTTTAACCACAGAGTGAATGTGTTGTTTCCTGGCAGAAAATCTTAGTCCATTTAAAAGTAAAATAAAGAAAAATGGATTTATTTTTTTACAAAATTTACTTCTGGGTACTATCTTATGATCATAAACAAGCTTCTGTCCAAGTTTGGTACAAACCCAGGATAGTTTAAGAAAGTTATTAAAATTTTAAAAACTTTAACCACAGAGTGAATGTAATATTTCCCGGCAGAAAAACTAAGTCCATTTATAAGTAAAATACGGAAAAAATGGAATTTTATTTTTACAAAATTTACTTCTGGATACTATCTTATGATCATAAACAAGCTTCTGTCCAAGTTTGGTAGAAATCAAGGATAGTTTAAGAAAGTTATTAAAATTTCAAAAACTTTAACCACAGAGTGAATATTTGTGGACGCCGCCGCCGACGACGACGCCGACAGAATGTAGGATAGCTATGTCTCGCTTTTTCGACTAAAGTCGAAGGCTCGACAAAAAGTTACCCATTATGTCTCTATGTTACTTCTATTTTTTTTTATATAAAATACTTGATGGAGTAAGTATAAATATTGTAACAGCCTTCCATTCAAAACAAAAACATTAGACATGTGCTTTAAACCTGTTTCATTGTACCATGTGACTTTTCTCATTTGAATAACTCTGACCATCAACAAACTTGGACTTCATTTAAGTTTTATGTCATGTGATTACTGAACTTTCTGTAAACATGATTTTGTATTTTTCATTGTTCAATTTCTATGAGTAACCTTAGTAATATTGTTTTTCTTCGTGTATGTTAATGTATGATATATACGAACTCTGACTAAGAATAAGAATATTTATTGAATCCAATTAAAGGGCCCATTTCCAAGCATATACATATACATATATATATAGTATTAATTATACAGTAATTTTTAAGATATATTACATTAAAAATAAATGATAACTATACTCCATACAAGATGGTGTTTGAAAATAAATAAAATAGAATATGAATATCATAATTTTGGACCAATAATCAAAAAAGTTACTTAAATCATTTAAATATCAAAGGACACTTTACATGTCATAAAAAATGACCATCATATAAGTTTTTTTATTAACTGGTTTTTATATGATTTTATAAATGAACTTGCATGTATCCACAACGATGTTATTTCTGGGGAAAATATTATAATCAGACGTTTTATTTTGTTTTTTATTCCTTAACAAATCTTAATTTGTGTTACTTTAATTTGATTATATATTTAAATATATCTTCTAAAAGAATATAAGCAAGCTTTTCGTGCTTAAAGCATGATGACAATATTAACCAAATGGAGAGGCTCTAAAAAGTTTTACCAATAAGTATTTACAGAATACATTTAATATTTACTTTTTTCTTGAAAAAAACACAGCTTATGACTTTCAAATATGAAAATAAAATTAGATAAAATGTAACCATAAGACCTTAATCGATGAAAAGGAGGATGTTTTTAACATTTTTTTTTAATTCTGCATTATCTCCCTTACTTATATGTAAAGAAAGGAATTAACATGCCTCAAAAAATGTCAAAAGAAACTAGAGGCTCTAAAGAGCCTGTGTCGCTCACCTTGGTCTATGTGCATATTAAACAAAGGACACAGATGGATTCATGACAAAATTGTGTTTTTGTGATGGTGATGTGTTTGTAGATCTTACTTTACTGAACATTCTTGCTGCTTACAATTATCTCTATCTATAATGAACTTGGCCCAGTAGTTACAGTGGAAAATATTTTACAAAAATGTACAAAAGTTTACAAAATTTATGAAAATTGTAAAAAAATTGACTATAAAGGGCAATAACTCCTTAAGGGGTCAATTGACAATTTTGGTAATGTTGACTTATTTGTAGATCTTACTTTGCTGTACATTATTGCTGTTTACAGTTAATCTCTATCTATAATAATATTCAAGATAATAACCAAAAGCTGCAAAATTTTCTTAAAATTACCAATTCAGGGGCAGCAACCCAACAAAGTGTTGGCTGATTGGTCTGAAAATTTCAGGGCAGATAGATCTTGACCTAATGAACAATTTTATCCTTGTCAGATTTGCTCTAAATGCTTTGGTTTCAGAGATATGAGCCAAAAACTGCATTTTACGCTATGTACTATTTTTTAGCCATGTCGGCCAGCTTGGTTCGCAGGCGGGTTCATCGTACACATTTTTTAAACTAGATACCCTAATGATGATTGTGGACAAGTTAGGTTAAATTTGTCTTAGTAGTTTCAGAGGAGAAGATTTTTGTAAAAGATTACAAAAATTTACGAAAAATGGTTAAAAATTGACTATAAAGGGCAATAACTCCTTAAGGGGTCAACTGACCATTTTGGTCAAGTTGACTTATTTGTACATCTTACTTTGCTGAACATTATTGCTGTATACAGTTTATCTCTATAATAGTATTCAAGATAATAACCAAAAACGGCAAAATTACCAATTCAGGGGCAGCAACCCAACAACGGGTTGTCAGATTCATCTGAAAATTTCAGGGCAGATAGATCTTGACCTGATAAACAATTTTACCCCCATGTCAGATTTGCTCTAAATGCTTTGGTTTCAGAGATATCAGCCAAATTCTACATTTAACCCCTATATTTTATTTTTAGCCATGGCGACCATCTTGGTTGGTTGGCCAGGTCACCAGACATATTTTTTAAACTAGATACCCCAATGATGATTGTGGCCAAGTTTGGTCAAATTTGGCCCAGTAGTTTCAGAGGAGAAGATTTTTGTAAAAGTTTACGGACGACGGACGCAGGACGCAGGACAACGGACGCCAAGTGATGAGAAAATTTCATTGGCCCTTTGGGCCAGGTGAGCTAAAAAGGATATAATTCTGAAAGTGTTCAATTGTTTTCTTGCCGTGTCAAAGCGGGGAGCTCCATTTCATTCATGGCATAATACCACAAAAAGAACTGCCCACTGTTTGAAAGTAAGTGAAAGCTTTATAAAAAAATGCTTGGATCAGAAGAAATCTTGAAGTCAAAAAGTGTGTCAACTAAAAAGAATAAAATTGATCAGTTTGACAAAGATCTGACAAAAAATACTGTGCATAATTTATTTTGGAAAAATGAATGTGTGACATTAAAAAAATTAAAACATCTTTTGGAAAAAAATCATGATATTAGTTTATCAAAATACAAATTATGGAAAACTCGGCTTTAGATATAAGAAAGTTGATAAAAACAGAAAAGGTTTAGTTGAAAGAAAAGACATTGTTAACCAACGTATACAGTACTTGCAACCTTAGGCGTTACTGTTTGACGTGAACTTGACTGATCGGTGAATGATCGGTGACGGATGTTTGACTGATCGATGACTGATCGGTGATCGATGACCCATAGAATCCGTCAGATACGTCAAAAAGGCTATGTGAGAGTTACCGTGACAACGGTCAGCGATCGATCAGTAAATTAATTGTATGCACGGATCGGACGGATACGTATATAATTAAAATTCTTATGTAAAACGAACTCCACAGTATTTACAGTCGGT